GAACCATATTTCATGATTATATTGTAGAGAGGGACAAAGTGTTGAATGATTTTTTGAAAAACACTTTTGTGAATTTCCCTGGTTTGCCTTCACTGCCTCAAGATTTAACCTGGCCACCTTCTTCAGTGTTTGTTGATCCTCAGGTTAAAGAAGTCATGGCAAGAGCTGCTGGTAATCCTCCTCATCCTCAACCTACAAGGGAAGAGGCAACTCCTCAACCTACAAAGAAGGAGGACACCTCATCTAGCTTAAGGAAGAGGGGAAGGCCGCCAGTAAAAGCTGCCATGGAGGAAGTTAGTGAAAATGAAGAAGAGGATGAAATAGAACAATCTGAAACAGAATCTGAGGATGTGGATAAATCTGAGTCTAGTGACTCAGATTATCAAGAGGAATAGGCCAGAACATCTTCTGGCCTCAGGTTACACTGTTTTTAATTGCCAAAAAAATTTTGTAACTTGTGGGAGGCACAACAGTGAGGACATTGTTGAAGATAAGTTTGGGGGAGAATAATATGTTTGTTGAACCATGTTTGCTCTAAGAATCATTATTTTTTTTCTTTCTTTCTTCTGTTTCATTTGCTATTTTGAGCTGTTGTGAATATATCTGCTGTTTTGATTAGGAGTTGTTTGTTGTTTTGCTGAACTCAGTAGTAGCCATGTTGTTAGTTATTTTTATTTTTATTTTTATGTTTGTCTTAGTTGTTTGCTGTTTTGTGAAATGGAAGTTTGAGTATGAGAGTGGATTGGGGATTGTATGGTGTTTAGCAGCGAGTGATCTGTATCACAACTAGGCAGCTGAAAGTTTGAAGAAAGAAAGGAACTCAGGGCAGTTGTGTGAATGAAGAGTGACATGAGTGTTTTAATGGTTGAGGGGTAATGGCAGTGAGAGATTGAGAAATTGAGTTGATTAATGCAAAGTGTGAGTTTTAATAATAGGTATGTGAGATGGTGACTTTACCAACACTGTGAGATATTGAGCCTATACACCCAAAAAAATTTTTGAGAGGTTTACACTGGGGTAGTGAGGCAGAACTTGCTCTGATGCTTAGTTGAAGAAGTGTAGCACTGGCTTGAGTTTAAAATGATGAGGGCAAAATTTTTTTGTTTTGTTTAACCACTTTTAAACCAAAAAGCCATCCTTAGATCATCATCCATTGAAAATCCATTTTGAGCCTTTAGCCTTTTCTTTTCACATACCCACATTTCACCCTGCCCCACAACCTACCACACCTTTTAGTTATGATGGAAATGGAAAAAGAAGCAAGATGTTGTTGGCTGCTATAGGAAGTGAAAGCAAGAGACTGGTAATACAAGAAAAGTTGGTTTCATAAGAAAAAAAAAGAGTTGTTGCTCTTGAAAAAGTTGTCAAAAAGAGAAAAATAGCAGTCAAACTAGCATCCACTGTATTGATTGACTAAGCTTCAGGATTGTGTTTCTTTTCCATTGTAACTAAGTTAGCCAAGTCCCCACAAATTGTCCACCTTCACCTTAGCCAAGTTACAACCTATTCAAGTCTCTTTGATTGAGCTTAGGTCTGTGTGTCACTTGGGAGACAAGAGCATCTTAGCAAGCCTATGTTACATCTTTTCCCAGTGTTGGATTGAGAGAAACAGGAGCCTTGAGCATTGATTGAATATTTCTGTGATTAAGTGAGGATGTGAAAAGTTGCCATCTCTGTTGGCTTTTTTAAAAATTATGCATGTTGTGCTAAGAAATGAATTTTCAAAGATCTCTTTTGTCATTACTCAACAGTTAGTGAAGCACCCCATGCATTTGAATTTTGCACACTGCTTGCTGAGTAGTTCTATGGAATAAAAAGATCACCAAGCTGCCTGGTTTGTGATTTATTAATTGCTGAACTAAGTACACTCCTCTGTTCCATGCTCTTTGTGATAATATGATGCACTGATTGGTTCTGAGTATCTTTGAATGATGTACTGAAATTTTTTTTGGTTGAGAAGAGTGGTTAATTTGCTAAATCCATGTGCTGATTTTCTCTGTTACTTGAGGACAAGCAACAATGTAAGTTTGGGGGTGTGATAAGTCCATGATTTGTGACTTTGAACATGTGATTTGATGTTAAAATGGTAGCAAAAAGAATATCTTTTGTTAATAAAAACCCCAAATATTGCATTGCAGTTGATTTTTCTGATTTTAATACTAATGGGCTGATTTTGTATGTTTCAGGCCCAAAATAGTGCTATTCCTCCTTGCAAAAAGAATGATGAAAAATTGGGCCATTCCTTTGCTGATCAGAAGCCCGAAACGCATAAAGTGAGGAAAGAAAGAAATTAAATCAGCGGCCCAAAAGAAGAAAGAAGGAAAGAAGAGAATTAGGCCAAAGACAATTAAATCAGCGGCCCAAAAGAAGAAAAGAAGAGAAGAAGAGAAGAAAGGAAACAAAAGAGACAGATCAGAATCGTGAGAAAGAGAAAAGAAAAGAAAAACCTAGCACAGACCCACCATCGACTAAATCCACCTCAAGCCCTCACCATCCATCGCGGTTTCTTCTTGGAATCGAGCAAATAAACCGAAACACCATCTGCTTTTCATCCTAGACAAGAACCCTAGCTTTTCATCACGGTTCAGTTTTTGAATCGAACCAACCCACACAAATCCTACCCGATTCGGTTGATGACACAGAAAAATCCAAACAAGTGATGAGTTGGAGGTCGTTAGTGGCTGGAGCTGCTTTTGTGGTTCGTTGCTGAATCGTGTAAGGGACACCCATGATCGATTGGAGCGAGGAGCGTACGTTTGGAGGAGGTGATTTGGGAGTCAGCTATAAAGAAAGGGAAAAAGGCATTTGTAGGACATTCTATTCTCTCCCTACCTCTCTTCTCTTCGCTGATTTTTATTTTGCTCTTTGGGAATATTTTTAGGTTTTCTATTTTCATTCCTTAGAATTTTCTGTTTGTAATCTTTGATGAGCACTGCTTCAGGACTATCGGTTGTGGATAGCTCCTGAGTTTTATTTTTCGTACACTTTAAAGTCTTTGTTTTTATCATGTTCTCTTGCTGTATTTTAGCTCATCAACCGGTGGTGATGAGCTAATTTTTCTGAGAGTTGGGTTGAAAAAAGTACCCGGAACTCACTATTATTAGATGATGTTTTAATGTTTACATGGTTGTTTTTCAGCTTGTTTACTGTGCATGTTTATTGCTGAGTTTGTTATGTGATGATCACACATAGTCAGCTCTTAGTGGTGTGAGATTATTGGGAAATAACTCGCGCTAGACCCCACTGTGAGCACATGGAAAGTTGAGAGAAAATTTTCTCTCAATGGGTATGGCTTCAGGGATGAAGTTACCCTATGTAACTTGTGAAAATGGTTCTTCAAGATCCTATGACAACAGTGACATAGAGATATGCGAAAACTGTTGTTGGGAAACAATAATTACCTTAATATTTTCGTTAAGCTGGGAGCAATTTTTGTTCTTTGTTAAAGCATCCTAATGACAAATAAGGGAAGTGGAAATTGACACCCAACTCACTTCCAAACACTGTTTTAAAACCAATTTTTGTCACTTGTTATTTTTATCCAAATCAGAAATTATTTGTCTGTTTCAAAACTTAAAAGGAAATCATTAAAAAAATATTTTACAAGTCTTTTAGTTAAGTTCTTTTTTCTAGGCTATAGTTCAAAAGATCATTTCACCAACTAAGTTCACTGTTTTAAAAAGAGAAACTTTCCACAAAAACACTTTCAGTACATTAGTTTAAAATAGCCCTAACAATTAATTTTATTTTTTATTTTTAGTTCTGATAGCAATTACCAGTTTATTTCAAGTTAGAACGCAAAGATCCTTGTGGGAACGATAACTGGGACTTACTAAAGCCCTATATTACTTGTTTTCGCGTATACTTGCGCGCATTACTTGCATAACTGTTAGCAAGGCAACATCTACATTCGCAATTGACTGCATTAATCCCTATAAAATGTTTTAGATTGCATCAAATGCGTAACTTTTTTAAATTGTAGTTAATAGATTTTTTGTAAACTATTTATCGTTTAATATTTTTTTTAATTTTTATTATTTTCAAATAATGATGTTAGGAATTCAATTTCTTTAAAACCAATACTTCCCATCATGTATAAAACTAAAATAAAATATTAAAAAGTAAATTAAAATTCCTATGTGTATAAAAAGTGACATAGTTTGAGAAATAATATTTCCTACAGTATTGTTTTTAAAAAAATAAAAATATATATATGAAATAAAAGAATTCGACCCAATAAAAATACCAATGGTTAAGAACAAATATACGGGAAATAAGAGGTATGAGCTTTTTCTAGAAAAAAAAAGTTTTTTATGCTTGTCTTTTTAAAACATATAAAATTGTGTCATTTTAAATGAGAGAAAGATACAAATAATAAAAATTACATGAGAGAAAATTAGTAATTTTTTATATTTAAATTTTAAATAAAAAATATTAATTCATGTCTTTTTCACTAAAAATTACACTTTGTATCTTTTGTTAAAAGACAAATATTTTTCTGATTAAAATTATTTTATATATGAATAGAGTAAAAAAAACACTTTTGAGTACAAAAGGGTACTTACTATTTTATCTTTTTTTTTTTTTTCAAATACACAATGTTTTTATTAAAAAAATGTAGGATTTGATGTTTGTCATTTTAGATGACATAAGTTATGTCATTTTTGATGAGAGATAGATACAGAAAATTAAAATCATGAGAAAGAGAAAATGAGTGATTTTTTTAATTTAAAATTTAAATAAATAAAAAAATTATGTATCTATCTATTTTTTAAAATAACGTAAATTTATTTCATTTAAAATATAACAAACACTTTTACAAGAACAGAACATAGTGTAACTTAATTTCTCTCAAGAGAAATTATTATAATTGTAAGAATTTGTAAAAAAAAAATTTTTACCTCTCAAAATAACACATCCTAATCGGGATCGAGTTCACAACAAATTATCAACGAGGAAATTTTGTACATGCAAAATCTTGAAAAAAAAAAAAAAAAGTAAACACAAAACAAAATACAAATGGGGCTTAGTTGGTGAAGAGGAAAGTGATGATGGAGGGTCGGAGTGAAAATCCGAGGTCTTCTTACTCACATTCACGGCGTCCACGAGGCCAGAAATTGCATTCCAATGCGACCCATCAATCCAAAGTTTCAACTTTTGCTCAAAGGGGCACTTCTTCTTCTACTACCACTAGTAGTGCTTCTACCTCTTATTTCAATAACAAACAAGACGCTGCACAAGGATCTTCCAATTTTGGGCCTTTAGTTGGAACCTGTCCTTATATGTGCCCAGGTAAAATTGAAATTGAATTAATTCATTGTGGTTGTTGTGGTGTTGTTAATAGGAATACTTTCATTTCTTGATGCTAGCAAAGTTGCAATTTTTTTTGTTTTATAAGACAATCTGTCTTTATTATTATTATTATTATTATTCATTATATTATAATTTTTTAGCAGTTTTGTGTTTTATTACACAAACATGTATGGTTAATTTAATTACAAGGTGATGTTTTGATTAGAGAATGGTATTTTTTAAATGGTTTTCTTTTGGGTGCAAAAGCTTCTTTGTCTTTCTAATCATCATTGAGGTGTTAGTGAGAGTTTACAGTGCTTGTGCTGGTGAAGTTAAGGCTCAGATAGTGAAAAAGAAAATGATGCAATTGAACTGCTCTTTAGCGCTGAGAAGAAACTGTTCTCTTTGAAGATTGTGGTGGTACTGATTTATATTTCAATGGTGAGATGATGCAGTTTAAGGATACTTATAATTTGAGAAGGAATAATGATTCGTGCAATGGGTATTGTGGCCTTAGTATATGCTTCTCCTACAAAATTCTGGCTTATTATTATTAGGTTAGACTAATTGTGATAAGAAAAGAGAAAGGACAAGAAAAGGCAACAAGAAAAGGATTGCACTGGGTGAATTATTAAGTGCATGTGTTAATAGGTCATTCTTCTTAACAATCTGGAACTAGGCTTATCTTTGCAACATCTAGGTAGTTTTGTTATTCTGAATTTGGAAATGGAAGTGCAATTTTTGTGTTCTGCTTTAGCTTTACATATGCCCACATGTGTTCCTTAACTCTTAGATACTTTGGCTCCTAAAATGGGCCTTGAACTTATTTGCTTATATATGTGGAATGTAAGTAGAACAAGATCTGTGCATCACTGGTTTGGACTTTTGAGTTGAAAATTGGAGATCATACCACACCATAAGTTGCACAGTTTAGGTATCTTAGATCTATTATACAAAGTAATGGAGAGATAGAGGGGGATGTAACTCACAGGATTCGAGTTTGTGGTTGAAAAGGTGGAATGCTTTTGGTGTTGTTTGTGATTGAAAGTTACTGCCTAACCTCAAAGGAATGTAAGGCGGTAAAATGCCAACAAAAGCATAAGCTGAGTATTCCAGAAATGAGAATGTTGTGACGGATAAGTGGACATTCAATGGTTGCATCATTTGATCCATGTGTGGAAAGGCTTCTGTTGTTGTTGTCTATTTCAGTTTTGTCAATTCATGGCAGCCAAGTGTTCTGCATAGTAAATGTTTAAGACACTATCAATTGCTATTACTATTTTTCATAAGGAGTTCATATAAAATATATTTACCTGAAACTTCTATTTTCAATGGTTTTTTTCCCTGTCCACAGAAAGAGAGAGGATCCAGCGTGAGAAATTGCGAGATTTGGCAGTTTTTGAGAGGCTAAATGGTAATCCTGGAAAATCATCCCCGGCCCTTGCAGTCAAGAAGGTAGGGCCAAACTGCTCCTATTTTATCTGGTTTTACCTTATTAACTACACTTGTATCTAGTTTAGGAAGAATGTAATCTCAAGCACCATGCTGAATTTACTTTTCTTCTATTTTTGATGATCAGCAGTGCATTTATGGGAACTGCAGAACTTTTATTGTGTGAATTAAATTGATGATACCAATGTTATCATTTCTATCTGTGTTTGATGATTCCCATAAGAAATCATAATTGGTTGCATGTTGAAACTGGAGTGTAATGCTTAGTATGTTTAATTGTAAAATCTATTGTAATGGCACATTTCTGCAGCTGACCCTTTAAGGGGGTCTGATAGACTCAAGGGATTTTAAGAAAGAATTGTGGACAGAAACTGAACTCTAAGTAACATTCAGCTTGTAAACAGTATTAAAGCCAATACGCCAAGTGACAACAAATTACAGCTGAAACGTATAAAATCAAATGACAGGATTACAAATGAGCAAGAAAAGAACATAGCCCTTAGAGATGCCCTGAGTATCTCCCAATTTTCCAGAATAACTATAATGCCTTCCTGCACCTCACACTCCTTACTTAACTGAATTCTGTTGCAACTTTGCTGACTCAGCAGGAAACCAAAGTCTCCTGTGTTTGTTTCTAGCGTACACCTTAGTTAATTGGGCTGTATCAGGGTCACAGCTTCAATGTGCAGTTGAAACTTTATTATTGATGATGATATGGGGTCTGTTAACAGCTATATGTATAAATCAACATAAACTGGTATTGATTGAATGATGATTTATAATTGGTAGTTTTTTTTTTTTTTTTTTTTTTTCTCTCTCATTTTTCCTTCTCTTGCTCTATAGTACTTTGTTATAAAATTTCTTCTTGTATCAAAGAGATTAGTTTATAGGATTTTGGATTTTGGAAAATGAGGAACTGTAGCAATAATAAAAGAGGAAAATAGGTTGAACCAGATGATGAAAATATAATATAATCCTGGAGAAGAGTGATAAACAAGAAAGCGAGATGGTAATTTTCAAATTGATAGGATCTCAAATCTCAATGAATGTTGGGGTAAACTCTTTACATTAATCGTTGGTACTACTTTGTAAAGGTTCCAAGTATAATATCCAATACCAATGTAATCATAATGAATAATACGGGTTAAAAGAATAGTACTCTATTTAACAAAATATTCCTTCCCTTGCAAACTGTGCAAATCCAAAAATCATTTATCCTTGTCATTCACAAAATCTTTAAGCATTGCATCAACAGATTTATATGTTGACAGAAGTAATGATATGAACTGCTACGATCTTTCAAAATTTATTCAGATATTCCAAGCAACTTTATCATGCGAAAGCAAATGATCTTTGTAAAGAATCAATTCAACACAAAAGCTTAAGATGATAAGTGATGGGCTTTCAATGATTTTATGTTATATCTTTCTAACAATCCTGAATTTGAAGAGCTTCTGATAAGACTGGATCAGATAATTAAAGAAATAAGGGAAATGTGCAACTTTTGGTCCAAAGAAATATCTGGGTTTTTCATATATATTGCAGAAAACAGCATTACAATAATAGAAATTATAAGGGCAAATTAACTATCACGTTGCTACTCAAGCTACAAAGGAAGATTAATAAGAAAAAGCTAAGGACCAGCAGGTTAGAGAGATGCTGAGCTCTCCAAGTCTAGTGCCAATTCCAATTGCCAAGCTACCACACCTTCATGCCTCATGTCTCATATAACCCCAAACACTAACCAACAGCCACGTCAGCAAAACAGAATTGCCTACAAACAGAATTCCTTTTACCCATTTCCTGCACCACTTTCTAGAATATTCTCATGATCAATTGATCCTCTATGACACTGATAGAACTCTTCTTAAGGTGTATAGTAGAAAGCGTCACAGGGGATCAAATCCTAATGCTGACTCACAGGAGAGAGGGAATATCATAGCTGTTGGTGCTGAGGCTGGTGAGAATTCGGTTAGGGAGAGAGAAGTTGGTGTGCTGCATGGGGCTGAGGCGTAAAAGTGCATCACAAGTAGTTATATAAACGGGAAAATAAAGGGATGAGGGAAGCTGGAAATTTGGGAGTTCTTTGGGAGGGATCAGTGCCTCTTATTAGCACTGAACCAGCTTGGGAAATTATTGTAATTGGTGGTTGTTTTTGTGCTTTGCGTTTAACTTGTTTCTGTCTTAAACAGTATTTTGTTATTGTAAATTTTTTCTTGATAATATACAGAAAATCCAGTATTCTGGGCCAAAACCCTGTGTTGTGCGTATTACTCTGACCTATTATATTACAATTCTAGCAACTGGTATCAGAGCACTTCGATCCTTGGGGTGCTTTGAATGGTTGTTACTCGCAACATGGACAATCGTTTGGAGATCGTGGAGGAACGCTTACGGAGAATCGAGACTTTAGCTGAAGAGCGTCACGAACAAAGTGACCTACGGCTAAGTGAGATTTTAGCCTTGTTACAACGTCATCCTCGCCATCGAGTTCGAGCTGATGGGGATGGCAGCCCGCGTCGAGGTCGCTCTCGCCGAAGGAGCACGGAATCCACAGATTCTGACTGGAGAAACCCACTCGCAGGTACACATGGGGGAGGACCTTCGCGTCAGCCCAGATTGGAACTCCCTCGATTTTCTGGGGATGATGTGTTCTCTTGGGTGACCAGGGTGGAACGATACTTTCTGGTCAATGCAATCCCAAAAAGAGCAAGGATAGACGCTGTCATGATCGTCTTGGATGGTCCAGCGTTAAATTGGTTCTTCGTTTGGGAGCGTGGCAACCCCAACGCGTCTTGGGAAGATTTTCGAATGGATGTTATGGACCGATTCCAATTGGAGCTGACTGGGAGTCCCTACCAGGAATTGATGAGTCTGAAGCAGACGGGTAGCGTTGCAAGCTTTAGGGCTGAATTTGAGAGAATAATCAGCCCTATTCAATATGCAGATGAGGCTATGCTTAAGGAGATCTGGTTGCATGGGGTTCATAGCAGTCTGCGCACTGAGCTGATGCAAGCCAATATAGTATCATTATCTGACTTGATGAGGAAGACGATGAGTTTGGAGAGAAGAAATTTTTCGTGGGCTAGTGATGGGCTGGGTTCGTGGGGTGCTGGAAGGACAAGTGTAGTGGGCCGCTCCAATCAGCCCATTAAAGGGTTCTTTAACGCGTCACATGCCAAGGGCATGGCCACTAATGCCACGTCCATGACAGGTGTCGGTCATCAAGCTTCCCCCACCATTTAAAACGACACGCGTTCTGGTCACACAAACCCTACCCGTTCTCATAACGTGGGTAGTGAGGGAGCAACACGAACCATGGAAGCTTCTGGTTCTGGTAGCAACCTGGTTGGTGGAGGTGGACGGCTCAGCCAGGCGGAACTTCACGATCGAAGTCGCTTGGGTCTCTGTTTCAAGTGTGGAGAGAAGTGGGACCGCAACCACCGCTGCCGGAACGCCCATCTCCGATTGTTGGTCATCGAAGAAGATGAGGAGTTGACCGATCCAGAAGTTCCTTCGCCCATGGAGACGCGCGAAGAGATCTTGCAACCGGTTGAAGAATCCCAGTCCATTGAAGCTGCACTCTTACAGCTCTCCATCTACAGTGTCTTAGGGCTTTCTTCAAACCAAAGTATGCAGATGTGGGGAACGGTGAACGGCGAGAAAGTGACGACGTTGGTTGACAGTGGTGCGACTCATAATTTTATCAATCGTCAGGTGGCTGAACGATTGAAACTCACCATTGAAGATTCATATAGTTTTAAGGTGGTGCTTGGCAACGGTCACAAGGTGGGCAGCCAAGGTGTGTGCCGTCAAGTTCCGTTGCAGATTCAGGAGTTTCAAACGACATTAGATTTGTTCGTCTTTGATTTGGGTGGTGCAGAGGTAATTTTGGGCATGGAGTGGCTGAGGAACTTGGGGGAGATCACAGCTGACTTCAACAAACTCACGTTGAAGTTTAATGATGGGGAAAATGCGACGGTACTTCACGGATAGGGGTGTCAATATGGGTTGACACGACACGAATTTGACACGACACGAATTCGACACGACACGAATACATCAACACGAACACGACACGAATTTTCATTCGTGTCAAAATCTTCAACACTGACACGACACGAATACATCAACACGAACACGACACGAATTTTCATTCGTGTCAAAATCTTCAACACTGACACGACACGAATTTTTTGCGGGTTGACACGACACGACACGAATAACATGCAAAATAGGGGACAAAACGATAATTGACAAAAAAAATAAAAAAATAGATCGAAAATAAAGAAAAAATTAAAAAATAATAATAAAAAAATAAAAAAATAAAAATTAAAAATAATACGGGTCGACACGAACACGAATTCATAAACACGAACACGACACGAATTTTTTTACGGGTCAACCCAAACACGAATTTTCGTGTCGTGTCGCGGGTCGACCCGCGTGTCAAAACCCATATTGACACCCCTATTCACGGAGATCCTGCTCTGTCACGCAAGGGAGCTTGGTCCTCTCTTCGTTCAATGGTGAAGACGTTAAAGGACAGTGGTCAAGGGTGTGTTGTTGGGCCTCAGTGGATTCAAGGAGAATCAACAATCATGCCAGTTGATTGGGCTGAGCTTTCACTACTGCTGAAGGAGTTTGATGACATTTTTCAGCAACCACAGGGCCTACCTCCTCACAGACGGCACGATCATGCAATTGAGTTGAAAGCAGGGAGTGGAGTGCCAAACATACGACCTTACAGGTATCCCTACTACCAAAAGTCCTTGATTGAGTCACTGGTTTCTGAGTTGCTCACTGCAGGGATGATAAGACCAAGCATCAGCCCTTACTCGAGCCCAGTCATTTTAGTACGCAAGAAGGACGGCAGTTGGAGAGTTTGCGTGGATTATAGGGCCCTCAACAAACTCATTGTGCCGAACAAGTTCCCAATTCCGGTGATTGAAGAACTTTTGGATGAGTTAGGTGGCTCCAAGGTTTTCTCCAAACTTGATCTT